ATCTATCTATCTATCTATCTATCTATCTATCTATCTATCTATCTATCTATCTATCTTATACTAACTTAGCAGCTATAGTGATCCATTTAACAAGAAAGAAATGGGGCAAAACTCACCTATAAAACTTACTTAACTACTGTCTTGTTTAGCAACAAAAGTTTTGGGCTCAATTGTGGTCAAAAGTGAAGGATTACCTATAGCAGGGGTCCCCAACCACCGGACCGCGGACCGGTACCGGTCCGTGGAACAAGTCCTACCGGGCCGCTGGTTTGCTGGGCACCGCCATCTTGTTTTGATGAAAAAGTGCTTCCGGTGAGCTTTTCTGGGTAGAAAGCTCACCGGAAGCACTTTTTCATCAAAACAAGATGGCGGCGCCCAGCTGATGCTGGTACCGGGCCGCGCCATAAAAAAGGTTGGGGATACCGGGCCGCGCCATAAAAAAGGCTGGGGATCACTGACCTATAGAGGCTCTAGTCCTGCCTTAGGCCTGAGGCCAGAATGAGAAACATCGGGACCAGTTCCTTCTCCCAATGCTCAGGCAAATCACTTCTGAAAAACATTGCCAAGAAAAACTGCATGGACTTTTTCATGTAGTTACTGGAAGTTAAGATTGACTTGCAGTCAGCAAAACCAAAATTAAAAATCATATAGCCTATAGACTGGCTATTCAGGATTTAGAATAGTGTTTGTTCACCCAGTCAACTTTAACTTCACTTGACACATCTTAAGTTAAATACTGCATCCAGCTTTGATCACCACATCACAAAAAAGATGCTGAGACTTTGGAAAAAAACGCAAAGAAGAGCAACTAAGATAATTAAGAGCCTGGAGACAAAAAATGTGAAAAACAATTGTAAGAACTGTGTTCTGTCGCCAGGACAAAGCAGACTCGAATACCAGAGTTCTTTATTAGCAACCAGTAACTTCAACTGAAGTTGAGCCGCAGCAGCCCTTTTTATAGCGGCTGCTCGCGGCTCGCAACCAATGGCGCGTGTTTAAACTTCCCGCCGCTTATGCAGCCAATCGGAACCCGTTGTTCTTAACCAATCGTTACGCTGTGTTAACTAACCAATAGGAATGTAGTATTAGAAGTCTATATTTGAATACA